TCGGAGGTCAGGTCGGCGAGCCCAACAGAGAAGGGAGCCAGCAAGGGACCTGCATTGACCTGCAGTGAGTGCTGAGAATAAGACCCTTCCATGGGAAAGGGGTGACTAACTGGACAACATTCTGGAATCAGGCAGGACTGGCAAGAGCAAGGAACAGCAGTGACTTCAGTCAGTTGTTCCCTTCCCAGACAAGATTGGTGGGGTATGCTTGGCCTGGGTCACACCCCTGCCTGAGACCCAATAAGTTGTCCCAAACCAATTCCCTATGCACAGCATACACTAATGCAGTGAAGTCCTCAGCAGGTTGACTGACCCAGAGGGTAAGGGCCAGCATAGGCTGCCCCTGTTTGCACCTCAATAACACACTGGAGAGGGCAGAAATATCTAGCCAGCGCACTTCAGAAGAACACTACAGTACCCGTAACCAACAAGGAAGGGACTAGGACCTCCACTGTACACCTATATGGAAGAAACCAAAAACATGAGAAAAGGAAGCAACAAGAAAAAGTGCCCAGCCCCCAGCCCTGAGAACATTGATCCAGGAGAGGTAAATACAAAAGAGATTGAGGACAGCAAACATGCAATATCAGGCATGGCACCAGTGCACATAAAGAGATATCTTTGGGACCTCATAGATGAGCTCAAAAGTAAAATATTTAACCAAGTAAAGCAAGATATAAGTAGATTAATAAAAGAAATGTTAAGCACCTCTCAAGAAGACACAGATGGAAGAATGAAGGAGCACACAAAAAAGGAGAGAAATGTTTGATGAAGAATATAAAGAAAACATAGAATACATGAAGCAGGTTCAAAGAGATTACCAGGAAATAAAAAGGTCCATTGAAAGCTGGCAAAACTACTTGAAAAAAATTAAGAATAGATTTATCCAAACTGGAAGACAGGTTTGCAATGTGTGATCATGAAAGGAAAAATTTCTTAAAAATAACAAGGAAACAGGCAGTAAAAATACAAAGGCTAGAAGACAACAAGAGGATCTATAACAAGAATAAAGAATGTGAATGAAGAAGCAGAGATAAAAACAAAGGAACTACTCACACCGTTCTGCTTAGATAGATTATATTCTGTCCCAGTTTGTCTACTTGCACTAGATCTGAGGGTACAGATAGCTATCCCCAAAATAACATGATATAGTACAGTAATCATCTTTAATTTCCTATTAACTCAATCTGGAGCCCCATATAACTTATACTGTTTTATCATGACTGATCTTAGTTAAATCTGGTTTGTTTGATTGCTGTTTGTTATCAACAGATTTTATTCAAAAATGTTATGATTGATAGTATCAAGTCTGAGAGTATAGATGACAAGATTCACTTTGATACCCATTCTGGTTTGATTATTTCCTGTTTTTGAAGTTTTACACTATCTAAAAAGTTTTGTTTTTATTAATACTGTTATGTACTGCTATATTCAATTATACTATGTCTGATGATATAGACAATTCTATTGAAGATAACAAGAGAACACAGTAACCATTGTAGAACACCTTGTACAGTGGTTTTATATAACTTTTTCATTTCACGTGTTTATAGGAAAATGTTTTGTTTTGTCTTGCTTTGTTTTTTTTCTCCCTCTAATATAGAAAGGATAAAAATACATGTTGAGACTCATGCATGTGTAGAATCTATAAACAGTTTATGAGAACTGATCTTATAATGCTTAATGCAATGAACAACTACTTTGAAGAAAAAGAGACACTACAGTACCCAGTGCTGATTCTGTAGTGTCATGATGTGAAATCCAGCAATACTATTATTCTTTGTTCAGCGTGATTTTGGCCTGCTTTGGTTTGTTTAATCTTAACATAAATGAAGGTATGGATAACTGCATGTATGTTTAAATGTATAGGATTGATAACCATATTACCAAGTTTTTTGTTGGATAGTTGAACAGAACTGTTTGAGTCTTGCTGTTTGAATCCCCACTTTGTATGCTTCACTTTTGTAACTTGAACAACTATTTGTAAGAGGACAATATGTAATCATCAACTAGTGATTTCTTACTGTTTATTTTTCTTTGAAAGTATGTATTATTTCTACCCTTTTTTCTGTTTTTTTAGTCTTTCTTTAAATAAAATTTAAAAAAAGAAGACAGCTATGAACAAAGAAAATCCCAGATCCCAATGGATTCAATGCTGAATTCTAGAGGAACTTTAGAGAAGGTCTAACAACACTACTCCTCAAACTCTAATAAAGTTGAAAAGAAAGCAGTACTCCAAAAGTTATTCCTGGAAGCAAGCATTACCCTAATAGCAAAACCAGAAAAGAATCCAACCAAAATGTACATAGATCCAAAAATCCTCAAAAACATACAGGCAAACATAATGCAGCAAATCAGCAACAAGATTCTACACTATGACCATGTAGGATTTGTCCCAGGATTGCAGAGAGGATTCAGCGTAAGCAAATCAATAAATGTAACACAGCACATTAACAGCACCAAGAAGAAAACCACAGGATCATCTCAATAGACACAAAAAAGCATTTGACAAAGTTCAACAGACTATGATTTTTAAAACTGTACAGAAAAGTCATCGATGACAAACCATCAACTAGCATCATACTCAATAGTAAAAAACTGAAAGCTTTCACTGTAAGATCAGGATCAAGAGAAAGATGGCTAGTGTATCCTTAAATAGTTCTGGAAGCATTAGCCAGAGCAATTAAATAAGAAAAAGAAATACAGATAAGAAAGTAGGATGTTAAATTATTATTTGCTGATGACATGATAGTCTACATAGAATATCCCCAAAAGGATCCTAGATTTAATAACAAAATTCAGTAGTGTCACAGGATACAAAGTCAATATTCAAAAATCAATAGAATTTTTTAAAAAAGCAATAGAATTCCTGTATATAAATAACAAAGTCACTAAGAGAGAAATTAGGGAAACAATAGCTTTTACAATAGTATCAAGAAAAATAAAATACTTAATAATCAACCTAAATAAGGCAGTGAAACTACAATACTCTGAAAAATAAAATTGAAAAGAGTATCAGAAAATGGAAAGATATCTTGTGTACTTGATAGGCAGAACCAATATAGTGAAAATGGCCATTCTTCCAAAACCGTTATATAGATTTAATGCAAACCTAGTCAAAATACCCATGGCATACTTCACAGAACTAAAGAAAATAATTCTAAAATTTATATGGAACCAGAAGAGACCTAGAATAGCAAAAACAACAAGGGCAAGGTGGGAGCATCCCAGCCTCCAATTTAAAGTTATACTATGAAGCTATCATGATGAAAACAGCATGGTACTGGTAAATTTTTAAAAAGTAGACCCAGGGATCAATGGAAGAGAATAAAAGATGCAGAAACAACTCCAAGTTTACTTTACTACCTTATCTTTGGCAAAGGAACCAAACACCTTCACAGAAAGAAATCCTCTTTTATAAATGTTGCTGGGAAAACTGACTTTCCACATGTTGAAGATTAAACCTAGACCATATCTCTCCCCATGTACCAAACTAACACTGAAATAGACCAAAGTTCTAAATATAAAAACAGTAACACTTAATCTGCTGGAAGATAGAATAGGTAAAATTTTGAAGATGTAGGTATAGGCAAGTATTTTATGAATAAAACCCTGATTGTACAGGAAATACTACAAAGAATTAACAACTGGGGTCACATCAAGTTAAAAAAGCTTTTGCACAGTGAAAGAAACCAGCAGAATATAGAGACAATCCACGGAACGGAAAAAAATTTTACCAGCTATTACCAGTTATTCAGATGAATAACTGAATTCTAGAATATATAAAGAATTCAAAAAAATCAGATGTCCCAAATTTAAGGATCCAATTAAAACTGGGCAACTGAAATGAACAAATATGTCTCAGAAAAAGAAGGACAAACAGCAAGTAATTATATGACAGGCCAGAGGTTTAGCTCAGTGGCACAAGTGCCTTCCTGGCAAGCGAGAGGTCATGAGTTCGATTCCCAGTACCAAAAAAGAATATATATATATATATATATATATATATATATATATATATATATATTCAACATCACTGGTCATTCAAGAAATTCAAATTAAAACAAAACTGAGATTCTATCTCACTCCAGAAAGAATGGCTACCATCAAGAAATCAACTAATAACAAATGTTGGTGAGGTGTCGGGGTTGGGGTGAGGGGAAGTCCCTTCTCCACTGTTGATTGATGTTAAATTAGTATAACCACTGTGGAAATAAGTATGGAGAATCATCAAAAAACTAAAACTTGAGGTTCCATTTGACCCAGCTATTCTCTCTTTAGGTATCTTCCTAAAAATTAAAAGTGTTATACCATAATGATGTATGTATACCCTTGTTTATAGCACCACAATTTATAATAGCTAAATCTTGAAAACAATCCATATGTACATCAAACAGATGCATGGGCAAAGAAAGTATTTATGTACAGGGGGATACTACTCTGACATAAAGAAGCATAAACTTGCATCATTTTTAGGTAAATGAATGCACCTCGGGATCATAATTTTAAGGGAAATAAGACACACAGGTCTAAGTACTGCATGGTTACTCTTATGTGAGAAACTCTAAGGGTAAGTAGGAGCATGCTGGAGGATGGATACTGGGAAGCAGAAGAATATGTTCAAATAAACAAGGGAGGGGGAGAGTGGAATGGAAAGCAGAGAAGAAGAATTTTAAAGATAAGGAAAAAATGAAAGCAAAGTGAATGTGAGAGTGAAGAACAGTTGAAGTGACAGGAGGGGAATAGGGAAAAAAGAGTGTTTAAGATATATCTCATACAGGTACATTTTCCCTATGGTGAGTGTGAACACTACAATGGCAAATGTTTACTAATAAAAAATAAATAAGAGGAAGGAAGGAAGAAAAGAAAGGTCACACTACATATCTTGTATCTTATTCCATTCCTGCAACTAGGTCATTGATTGAATTGGTCACTAAATAAAGAATTGTACATAGTATGTACATTAAAATATTCAGAATAAAGAAATGAGCAAAGGAAACTCCAACTTGATGATTGATTTTATTACATAACTCATATATAGTACTGTAATGTATAACAAATTATAAAACTACAGTACAGTACTATTCTACACAGTACAATTTGCAAAAATTACAGTGCTGCATAATCAAGGTGAACTATAAAAAAGACACTGAGAGTCTATAAACAAGATATACAGAACTATATTTTTAAAAGGCCATAAGTCTGAGCAAAGAGGTTATCAACAGTGTAGTGATAAGTCCAAACAGTCATTAACATAAACAAGTAGGTCATTAAATGAGGAATGTCTGTACACATTGAAAGAAAGACAAGGGATGTAAGGGTGTAGCTCCGTAGTAAATCCCAGCATGCACAGGTTCGGGGTTGGACACTTGACATGCAAAGAAAAAGAAAAAAAAGAGAATATTCGTGGACAAATTCTTTGAAAAGCACAGTTTGCAAAAATTGATGCCAGAAGACAGAAGCTCCAAATAGCTTAGTGTCTATTAAAGACATAACTATCAAATATTAAAGACATGTCTGTCAAATACATAACTAAAAACCTTCTCATCAAGAAGAACATTCCAGGGAGCAGGAGTATAGCTTAGTGGTACAGCACTTGCTTAGCACAGGTGAGGTCCTAGGCTTTTACATAAACTCCACCAGAAAAGAAGGGAGAAAGAGATATTTGCTAACTGATTTTTATATGCATAGAGAAATCATGATGAGGAATTCTGAGAACATTTCAAATTAAAAGTACAGACTGGTATCTCAAGAACAATTATGCACATATTTATTTTGTTTTCTGAGACTTTTTCCTGCTATGATGCTCAGGCCGCTCTTGAACTTACAATCCTCCTGTTTGGCTCCTCCTCAGTCCACCCCCTGGCAGGTGAGAGGATACTCATGCGTCACCATGCAGGGCTCAAAGATGCAAATATTAGCAGGATATTCATAAAGCAAAGGAAGCAATATTCAAGAGGACAGCTCAGAACCTAGCGGCATGTATTCCGAGAGTGTGAGATTGACTTTTTATTTGAAAGTCTGAAAACAAAACAAGAAAAACATATGATCATCTGTAAGGATGCAAAAATAAAACAAATTTCAGCACTTACTTATGACATAAAAATCATAATTAAGATTGGCATATAGAAGATATTCCCTGTAAAACTGAGAACCAAGGCAGAAATGTCTGCCCTCACCTCTTTGAGTTCTAATTTTATCCTATATGATAGGAAAACTTAATTTATTAATTGTAAATAGCTTAGAAAGAGGTAAATTGTCATTGTCCATTGATGGCATAATTTTCCAATTTCTATAAAATTGTCCATTGATGGCATAATTTTCTACCTAAAAAATCCTATAGAATCTGCAAGGAAAAAGAGAAAAAACTCCATTATAGAATATGTTAATTTAGCAACATCACAGGATATCAGGTGCACATATAAAAATCAAATGTATTTCTGTATGATATTAGTAAGTAGAATTTAAAACCAGTACTATTATGATAGCATCAGCACCATTAAACACTGAGAAATACACAAAAATGCCCAAAATCTCTATGCTGAAAAGTAAAAAACATTGTTGAGAAGAATTTAAAAAGTTCTAAATATATAGAAATATCAGTCACATTTAAGAGCTAGAGGACAGTTTGTTAAGATATCAGTTCTTCCCAAAGTGATCCACAGGTTCAGCATGATCCCAATCAGATTTCAAAGCTGTTTGAATCAAAAATTCAAAGTTATGTTTGTAGAAATTATTCTAAAATATGAAGATTTAACCAAAATTATCTTGTAAAAAGAAGACCAAGTTGGAAGATCTACATTACCTAATTTTAAAAATTAGTATAAAACTGTAGGACAGTATGGTATTAGTACAACATAGACAACTAGATCAATAGAACAGAATGGTTGTGCCAAAATTGTGTGTATGTGTGTGTGTGTGTGTGTGTGTGTGTGTGTGTGTGTGTGTCCCCTCTGGAGTTGGGGAGGGTATAAAGTGCAGGCAAATGATTCTAAACAAAGGTGTCCAGGTAATTCATTGAGGACACTGATTTTGACAAATTATGCTAGAACTATTAAATATGTGTACAGAAAAATGTATCTTGACTCCGACTTTATGTACACATACAAATGTACTGAGATGGATCTTAGCCCTAAAAACAAATGTTAAAACAGTTCATTTTATTTTGTTTTAGTTTGTTTGTTTTTGGGGACAGGGTCTTACTAAATCATTCAGGGTGGTCTTGAACTCACTATGTAGCCCAGGCTGTCCTCAAATTCCCGGTGATCTTCCCGGTTTGGCTTGCCAAGTGCTGGGGGTATAGGCATGCACTGCAGTGCCCAGCTTTAAAACCAAATCACTTCTAAAAGAAAACTAAGAAAAGATGTTTATGACTTTGCAGGAGGCGGCAATTTCTTTTCTTTTTCTTTTTCTTTTTTGTTTTTGTACCAGAAATCAAGCTCCAGATCTAACATTTATATGGGATGCAAAAAAGTATCAACCATGAAAGAAAAGACATAATCACATTTAAAATAACTTTGCTCAAAGGATAGCATTAGGAAATTGAAAAAGCAAGCCACAGTGTGAGAGAACTACCTAATCCATATATTTGATAGAGGTCCTATACTCAGAATATATAAAATATTTTTACAAATGACAACCCAGAAGACTTTCACAGACATTTTCCAAAATGAAATACCATGTACAGATAGCCAATCACCACGTGGAAAGGTGCTCAAAATTGTTAGTGAGTGGCCATATGCAAATTAAAGCCAGAATTACATGCTACTTCCTACCCATCAATGGCTAAAATGAGTTAAACTGACATTATTAAATGTTGGCAAGGAGGCAGAGCAAGTGAAGTTTGCTTAGAGTATTAGGATGTAAAATGGTACAGCAACCTTAGATAACAGTTTAACCATTTTTTATAAGGTTAAACATATGCAAATAAAAAAATAAAATAAATACCTACAATATAATCTTCCAAATCTCCTCTAGGGAAAGAACCTAAAGAAAGGAAAGCATATTTCCACCAAAAGATCAGATATTTGTATCAACTTTGTTATCAATAGTTCGAAACTAGGACCAGGTCAAATGTCCATCCACAGGTGACTAAACAGATTTTGATGCTACAATTTTATTGTTTAATAGGAATAGTCTGCAACACATACAACAATATACCTGAATCTCAAAAGTATGTTGGAAAAAGTTGTCAGGTGCAGAAGAAAAACACTAAAATTTCCACTTATATGAAATTCTCAAACAGGCACAACTAATGCGTAATGATAGGATGTTGCCACTATTGGGAAAACGAGCTGGAGATGGGTATGAAGGACTTCCTGTGTTAGGTGAAAGTTCTTTATTGTAACGCCTTTAGCATCTTGGGTATATGTCACACCAAATATCAGTATCGAGTCCTAGTAGTATTTCTTTGGGAGGGATGTAAGGTTTAACCCCACTGCCTTGTTCCTACTGAGCACCAGCTCTATCACTGTGCTGCGTCTCCAGCCCCCAAATAGCATTTTTTAGTCAAGTAAAAGAAAATAGATTTAAATATTTTGAAATATCTGGAGAGAAGGTTGAAGGAGACAACAGTCCAGAAGCGTCATGTGAGGTAAAAAAGTAAGAAACAGCCTGTCTGACCATATAATCTTTTAAAAATAGGTTTTAAAAAAAACCCCAAAACAAAAAACCCACAAACAAATCAGGAAACAAATTTGTCCCAGTAGGCCCTCCCCCTCCCCCACTGCAAGATAAAGTGCCCAGAAACCGGAAGCAAACTTCTCTGAAGTTCAGCAGTTCAGCTCTCCACTCGCAGTCCGGCTCACCAACGCCTATCTGAAATTCCTCCGCTAGGAGTAAGATAATTCATCACCTGCCATCACATACTGCTGTGAACGTTAGATGAGAGAATACACGCAGGTGCCCAGCTCCCAGCATTCACCTAAAAATGGTAAATTTGGGACATTATTAATCCTGGTACCTGATTAAGTACCATTTAGCTACAAGAAGCTAGAAAGACAAAAGAGAGGTTGGGAAAATTATTTAGCGTAATGCCCACCATATATTAAAGAGGCAAAATATCCAACTACAAAGCCCGTGTTTGTAATCCAATTGCAATAAATCATTTATATCTACTAAACTCTGTGTGTCTACAGAGAGCCTACAAAGTAAGAAAGAGCATTGGAGATTTAGAGAAGTGTTACAGTAGTAAGATTATGGGTTACTTTTTTCCTTTTGTAACTTCCTACACACTAGAGTGTTTTCATACATGAAAGGAAATTCACCAACGGCACACATCTGTGATCCTAGCTACTCAGGAAGCTGAGGCATGAAGATAATAAATTCAAGCGCAGTGTGGGAAAATCCTGTCTCAAGATAGAAAGGGCTGGGGAGGGTAGCTCAGTGGTATAGTGCTTGCCTAGCATGTGAGAAGCCCTGAGTTTAAACCTCACCGCAGCAATAAATAAATGAATTCATGTAGCAAAACATTTCCTCTACCAGATCATAAAGTCTAATTCATGATTTGGAAATCAAGAGAGGGTGGAGCAGGGCAGATTCCTTCCTTGTTTGTTGCCCTTGACTGGCCCTGACACATGTCATCAGAGGCTCTTGATGCATGGGCTTTGTCATGTTCACTGTGGGTTACCTTTGCATCTAACTAAAAGGTGCCACCCTTTGGAGCCTTCTAACTGCACTACATGGGCACAGTCGCCACAAAGTTGCTGTGAACAGAGTCTTTTTCCACCTGTACCCTCAGCTAGCCATAGGAGCCGGTCCACACTCTGGGATGCCTTCTTCAACTGCTGTGGGCAAGAGAAGCCTCCCTCATGGGCCAGGCCAATAGCTGCATTTCCTATTACTCAAAAATCCTTCATCTGTGCTAAGCAAGATGATTAAAGGAGTTTCCGTGTAACGGTCTAATGCCCTCTGTGCTTTGGTTCCATCTATGAGATGCCAAGTTTGCAATGCTGATTCAAGCAGTAAAGTGGCCGGGCCTAAAACAGAGTCCCCATGCCCAACTCTGCCACTATTTGTGAAAATTCTTACTTTTTCAATATAAGTAGCTCAGGGTAATTGTGGTTAAAACCAACTTAGTATAAACTCTAATTACAGCAAGAAAAATCAGTAACAGAATTACTCATCTTGCTACGGCATGATGAAACCCACAAATATTTTATTTAGTGGATACTCATGGTGGAGAAGAGCTAAAAGGTCATTTATTCAGTCATCCAGGAAGCTCTTGGATCTGATTAATCACCAAGAATAACTCTTAGAGGGTAGGGATGTAGCTCCGTGGTAGAGCAGTTGCCCAGTATGTAGCAAGCCTTGGATTCATGTCCACCACCTCCGTGAAAACTCTGGACTAGGAACTCACAAAATTCCATGGTAATCCATCCCTCTTTTAGTTGGCTCGAACTTTTAGCAAGCTCTTGGGTTAATTCATAACTCACCAGCATCACTAAGCCGAGGAGGCTCTGCATCATGAGTCACCACCTTTTCCTAAGAAAACAAGTGACTCTTGTCCCTTGTACTAGCAACTAAATGTCCCAGCTACCTCCCGTTCACACTGTGTGACTCAGCAAAAGTTGCAAGCCCTTTTAAGATCTGGAAATGGACAATTTACAAAATAGGTGTTCTGGTTTTGGGCACCTAGTCAGGAATATGTGGTTTCTGTGATTGTAAAAACAATGTCAAAGTACTAGGTTTTAAGCATATAGCTGACATTTAGCATGTGCAATTTGGAGCCCATTAAGAGCAAATTAATCTTTTAGGCTCTTGGATGGTGAGTCACAGATTCCATGAAAGGCCCAGCTTCCAGGCCCTTGCCTAAAGATTAATGGCTTTTCACCCCGAGTGATCCTCCAAGGCTGACGTGCACAGAGCTCTGACAAAAAGTGGTTATTCCACTGTGCCACGAACGCTTTGTACTAGGAAGCACAAGCAAAGAAGCATAGTGAGATGGCTGGAAGAAATGAGCTGAAACACTTATTTGAAGCTTTAAAACAAAATATTTATGCTCCAAGACAGTGGATACGCAGGCGAGGATTCAGGTCTTCAGCCCATGTACCTGCGGTGAAAAGGTTACTCAGAACAAAACAAAAGAGGAGTTGAAGAAGGAGAGAGAATTAGGACATAAGAAAGAGGCACCATCAACTGTGACCCAGAAGGTGCGGTCAGTGGGCTGCGCAATCCAGAGAGCTCCTGTCAGCAGCAAAACCCCAGAGCCAGAAGACTGAAATTTCTGGTTCTGTGAGTCCATCCACACTTTGAGAGAGCCCGTCTCCAATAACCTGTGCGTTTGGGTAAGCCTGGCCTTTGTGCCATCTCATTTCCACAATTCCAAATCGACCTGCACATCAGTGGTGGTGTTACACCATCACTGGGGAGGACATGGCTATTTCCCGCCCCTAGTCTGACAGTTCGCCAAGTGGTCCATCACTCGGATTGTCCTGCAGGGGAACCCCTACTTCATCACGGGAAACTGCTGAATTCAAAGGTCTACAGCTTGTGCGGACTAATCTTTGGAGCCAAAAATCAAGATAAAAAACCAGATGATGAGTAAGAATATTTTCCTGAACCAAAGGAACAGAATATCTAAAAGCAGGCAGTTCCCACCAGGTCAGGAGGAATGGCTATAGTACTTGTCCCAGGGAGCTGGGGGAGGGGAGACAAGGCAGGTGTGAAAAGCTGGGGGCTCCCTAATCCCCTTCCCATGCACCCTCTGGTTAGATTCCCTTGGAGGAGTCTCCCCAGAGACCACCCTCCCCTGGGCAAGCTAAACTTGCACGGCGCTCCCACTGGCTCAGAACTGGGCACACTTTCAAATCCAGCCTTACAAATTAGTTTGGTGACTGACATAATGAGACGCTGGGAAGGGCACAGACAGGAAGTAGAAAGTGTGGAACCTGGCCTCTTCTCTTTGATCTCTAATGGTGTAGCTGAGGTCCCACCCTGTCTGCAGCTGCAGCTAACAAGTTCTTCAGCTGGAAGGCAGCTGGGCAGCTGCAGTTGCTACTGCAGCCCGTGGTGGGGAATCTTTTAGCGCTGAAGTTTCACAGCAGCCTGCTGGGGTGACACTCCACATCCCTGGGACGAGATAGGTTGGAGATGAGAATCTTAACATCCATCAGGTTGCATTTGGGGCTGTTTCTGCATTTTTTATGAATGGGAAGTCCCATTCCTAAAGACCATCCTAAAAGACCTCCTAAAGACCATCGAGGTATCCAGTCCACCCTTCAGTATGTTCTCACCACAGACCCTTAGGAAGAATTCAGTCAACTCTCAAGTTTTCTACCCAGAAGATAAACCTCTGACCCACCTCTCGTCCGGGGCTCCTTCAAATGACTCATTGGCCTGAGCCACCAGGAAGCTCCCGTGACAGCTGAGAGAGGAAGATAAGAACCAACCGTAGCCTCCCTTCCCTCCGGAGGCTGAGCCACGTTTGGTGGACTCTGTGGCAAGAGGGAGATAAGAACCGGGCAGGCTCCTTGCCCACAGAGATGTTTCATACCCAGCAGACTTGCTCCGGATCCAGAGACGCAGTAGGCGCTTTGCAAATATTTACTCTGCTCCATGGCAACAGGGCAGATGGAGTCAGGACTCCACTCAACCCCAAGGACTCGCGCCCTGCCCTTCGCTTTCTCCGCGTGCTTATTATGAAGGGCCACATGCTTCTGTTGCCAGATGCTTGCAGTGTTGAAATCCATGTGAATATTGGACTCCTCTTACCATCTAAATAACCTGGGTATCCAGGACCTGAACATCTGATAGAGAAAATAAGGTTTGCTCTAATTTGTGTCGTGAACAGCTGTGGCTTGACCTTGGAATTAGACTCATCTCCCCATTCTCAGCAAAGGATATTCCCTTAGTTACTTTCTTCTTGTTGTTGAGACCAAATACCAGATACCCAAAATGAAGGAAGAAAGGGTTTGTTGGCTCACAGTGTGTGAAAGTTTCAGCCCACGCCAGGTGGCATGGCACGGGGGCAACAGTTCAAGGCGACAGAAAGCAGCCAAAGCGACAAGAGAGGGAAGCGGAGGACGAGGCTCTTTTCCTTGTGTTATATGCCAGCTCCCCACGCTCGTGCGGGTGTAGCACTCACGCAATCTCCATGTCCTCCTTTTGCACAGACTCAGGATGTTTACACAGTGACAAACCTGGCCTCCTGCTAAGTCACTTAATTACACTTCTGAATTTCTCAGGTTGACTCAGTGAACAACATTCTGGAGCAGTAAGGGCAGGTCCTCTACACCCCAGGATGTAGAGCTGCTGAGTTAAGCTTCTAGACCTTTCCAGTCAATACAGTGTATCAACCATTATAGTTCCCATGGAACAGCAGCCGGAGCTCAGAAGTATGGCATGTGCTTAGCATGCACTTAGCATATACTTAGCATGTGCGAGGCCCTGGCCTCACCTCAGAGGCTGTGGGCCTAAAGTAGTCTGGGCATCAGGTGTGGCCTGAGGCACCAGAGTCTATTCATTAAAAGTACATGCGCATGGTGCCACCTTGTGGTGGATTTCTTAGCCACTGGGGAGAAGCAGTGGGCCTGTTTTTTTCCACCATTTACATTTTGTGAAGTACAATATTCAGATGATTTTTGACTATTTTAGGAAGACGCCTTGGGCCTCTGTTCCATAACTGAACAATAAAAAAAATAGTCGATGAGCCAGGTGCGGTGCTACATGCCTGTAATCTTAGCTACTTGGG